AAACTAAAAATTAGTCCTCCTCTCTCTCTCTCTCTCTCTCTCTTCTTGTATTGTATTGGTGGAAGAATTCTCGCACGTGTAGACGACTTTCTTGCAAAAAAATAATTTAACAATATTATATTATAAAGTTAGCATCATTTTTAATAACATTTTATAGAGATTTAATTATATATTTTTCCTTATAGCACCTGCCAAAGTAAATGGTTTTTGTAATTATCTTCAAAAACTTAATGAATACTATGTAGATATTTTTTTTAGTTTTGAACTAACAATTGATTAACTATGTTTCTTGGAACAGATACTAATAAGAGATCTTATTCTTTGAGAGGACATAATGTACTATGTTATAATTGTAATGTAATCTAGTGGAAACTTGATAAGAGTGACAATTTCATTTCAGTTATCCAGGTTGGTGTTAAGGCCAAAGATTGATGAGTTCATCACTGTCTTTGAAAGTATCCAATAATCATTGGATAGACAGACATATAATCTTTGGAGCAATTCATATGCTTTTAGAGATCATAGTATTTATTGGTGCATGTTAGGAATGAACATGAGGAAACAAGGGATGTATCTTCCAGTAGAATAAGGCTCTAAGTGTTTCATAATAGTAACAATAAAAGGGTCAGTATAATTTTCAGAAAGTAAAACATGAAAAGAGCAGTAATTCTGAGAAATCATTCTCTAAGTCTGGATTTGACTTCCTTAATGAGTCTGTTTCAAACAAGATCTTCTTTCAGCACAATAACCAATATGGGATGACTCATGTTGACCTATGGCAAGTTGCAAAGAGATGAAGAACTTATCCATTTGCATCAACAGTTCCCTTCTACCAAGCAACAGTAGTCAAATTTGGGGAACAGAGTGTCAAATATGGGGAGCTGTATGTAGTCAAAGCCAAAGAGAGTGAATGAAGCCAGAGAATTTGCATTAGAAGGCAAAAGATGACACAGACTCCATGCAAGTTTAGTTTTGATCTCCAAATGAAGAAAATATCATCTAGGTGGGTCTGGTCATGGTGGATAAGGGAAGCTGCACATATGCTTTTTGCTCTGCCTATCTTCTGCAACTCATTTTGCTTACCCACCCACCCCACTTTGATCCAACTAACACAGGTTAGTCTCTGGTCAGAGTTATTGTGGTCAATTATGGATTATGGTCAACAAAGGAGGGCTTGAAAAGCTTTAGTTGTGTTGCTCATGAACATGGAAGCTGATGATGTCAGTTTAAGGAATGAATTGGAACATGATATACACACCTACTTGGTTCACATTTTAGGTTGACCTTCTCAAAATAAATCAAAGGTTTCCTAAGCTGTCACAGAATCCAAAGTTGGTGATTCATGTTTTTGTTTTCTGCTTGGGTTGGCATTCATCAACACCATACTGCAAACTGGGTCTTTGTCAGTTTAGAATTTGCCTAGGTTGTCTCTTATCTGGTTGTCAACATGTTTGGTTAAATGAAGAAGAAGATTCAAATGGGAAGAACTTCTGTGACAAATAGATACAGTGGATTCAACATCCACATAGTCCAACATCTCTTGGTACTCACAAATCCCATTTTCAACACCACCAACTCTGTCAATGTAATAAAAAAAAAAAACCTTCCTAACATCATTTCAGCAATTATAATCCAAAAAATATGATTTATGACCTAATATTTTTACTCAGATACACATTGGACAGTTCATTTGACACAGTGGATGTGGTATCCAATTCATCCAACTATAACTTGGTTTGATTGGACATATATCCATCTTGACCCAATCAATTATAATTTTGAGCAAGCTTTATCATAGTCATGTCTATTTTGAAAAATATCATCTAATTTCTCAAGGTTGGGCTGAAGACCAGCTGTTGTATGCTAATTTGACAGACTCCATTGGATCCTATGAATATTTTGATATTAATGATAACTAAGTATTTTCTCAACTGTGACCTAATTGCATGAACTGATCATTTTCATACTAAGTTGTATCCCATTGTTTAGTCAATTGAAACCACCTGCACTTTTCTATTCAAGTGTTTTTCAAATTTGAACCCTGATTAAGACCAAATGATACATTTGAAGTTAATTATGTGCTAACTGTTAATCTAAATACTTAACTGAGACTCAAAAATCAATTTATCTCAGTTGTAGCATCAACTGATCAATTTCAAAATTAAATGACAATTGATTTAATAATAAATGTCCTTATCAAGCTTAGATGAGCCTAGAATTGGAATTTTGACTCATACAACTGAAATAAGAGGAAACGTGCCATAATCAATTTAATTGAGGTTAATTTCACTTATAAATGTAATCTGAACTGATCTGGATTTCCTAAATCTAATTGTATTTTCCTAGTTCTCCTCAATTTTCAACTTTAGATATAATTACATTAATTGGCCACAGTTGACTCAGGTGCCAAGTGTGTGTCATGTGGACAGACCATGTAATGGAATATAATTATATGGATGCCCCCTCTGAACAGTAGCACCAAACTATCAAGCAAGGAAGCTATCTAAACTGGACTTCAACAGAGGAGATTGAAAAGAAATCCATAAATACCAGTTTAACCAGACACCAAAGAGGTACTAATCAGACTAACTACATATTTGAAGCATGAAAATGATTTATGAGACAAGAATAAGGCATTCAAAATCACTATCCTAAGCAATATTGGCCAAGAACAAGGTCATTAACAGGATCAGTAAACAATGACAAGTACATATGACACACCTCGATGCCCCAAAATTTCTGTGGCCGCGTTCCCATCATGGTCAACGAGCAAATACTTCCTCAATCAGACCAAATTGCATCTGTGAATTATGACAATCTACATAGAAAAACTTTGAGATCTTGTACATCAGAATTTTAACATTGGCAGAAGGTAGACCATCTCTGGAATGATGATGCAAGCAGTGAACTGGTACTATTAACTCATTTTATAGTATTACCCTTCTTGAAACAAATTGGTATTTGAAAGAAGTATTATATGTTGGAAAGGTTGTAGCAGTTTGCAGATTCAACAATGTTGAAGCCCTTCGATTGCCTTCTTCCACTGCCATGCCCGCTGTTTTGCATCTTCAAATGAAATAACTTTTTTGGGCTGAAAAACAGTCCATAACATTAGGATTTTACCAGAAAGATCTGTGGATTATATGGTAAAAACTTTGGGCAGAGTAGCATACAGTGCATATCTTGAAATGTGATGAACTTGCCACTTGGACACTGAGGTCACCGGCATTATCCGACCAAATTATGTTTACATTAGCTGTCATTTTGGAGGGATCCACATATAGCAATTTGGGCTTGTCAGTAAGAATGAGTTGCACTTTTTTGTTAGTCAACTTCTGAACTTTCTTCAGATTTGAGATCATAACAATAGTCTCACCCGGCTCAAGAAACTCTTGCCTGACATTCACAAATTTAGACACTTCTTAAACATCTTTTGAAGCTTTCTAAAGCACACAAAAGCCTGAAAACTGAGGAACTGACAAAGCATGAATTGCATAAATCTAAAGGAAGTTTGACAAGTTTCTGAATATACCAAACAAAACAAAAGAAAGAACAACCAAATTAAAGATAATTTTATGGAAAATAATAAAGTCATGCTTGTAAAGTTGATTCCAAAAAT